CAGTTCCCTAAAACCCAATTATTTTTTTTATTCTGGAAAGGACTAAACCTTCTGAAACACTTCCACACCTGATAAGTGACCCTTCTCACTCTTTGTTTTTTTTATTTCCCCAGCTGACCCTGTGATCAACATACAATAGGTACATCACACATGCAAGTTTGTCACTGACCAGAGATAATGCACCATTATTTTCTTTTTGTCCATTGCTCTCCAGCTTAGACTTCCACAGCTGGGCAACTTCCTACTTTCTTGCCTTGCTTTCTCTTCAACAAATGGATGGGACCAACCCCCACCGTTATTTTCCTGTTGTATTCCAGATTCTCACGGAGAACCTGGGAGAAGTTCAGAGCCACAACAGGGAAATAGACATAATACAATTTTTAAAAGTTAGGACGTAATCCTGTCCCAGAAGATCACTCTCCTTTCAATACGTAGCTTTAGATGAAAAAGAAAGGATCTAAATTTAATGTATCCTCCAGAGAGCAAATTGCTTGGTGTCCCTGTACTTCACACATTCTATATAACAGCATTCTTTTTGTGGAGGAAAAAAAAAAATAGACCTGAAACTGTTTCCAGTTCAGTGCTAGATGTCAGCATTTTAAATTACTGGTTCCTTTGCACTGTAGGAAAGTTTCCAGTACGTTCTTCCTTCTGCATGGCAGTAGCGTCCATGTGGCAGTCAAACACGCAGTTGCATGCTTCTGACTACTTGCTTTTACCACTGGTTACATGGACGAGACAGAAAGAGCACAGAGCTAAAATAATTAAATCCTTTACCTGACTGCCTAAAATATTATGGTAAAATGTATTAAGTCTGGAGCGAGGGCTAGGAGCTTTAAGCAACACTCCATATAAAATATAGAAACTTTGTCCCAGACAGAGGGTACTGATTAACTCTGCTCATTAACAGCACAGTAATCTGGCACACCTTTGCCTTTCTCTTGCAGTTAAGTTCTCCTCTTTAAGAGGCAAAGTCTCCAAATGGGAAATACTGGTCTGAAGCAGACTGCAAGTCAGCTGGACCTGGACTTCCCAAGGATTACAAGGCATATATATGAGAATGGACTTTGCTAAGTGATGTTGACTCAGTCCAAAGAGGACTGGGGAAAGAAGTCCAGAATGGTAGGAGTTGATGCAGAAACTGTCGGTACTCTCTCCTGTCCAGGTCTCTCATGCACACGCTGGAACTAGAAATACACCCTCTCACCTCTACATATTACAGTCAGAAAGTGAACCTCTATGCAAATGAGTTGATTTTTTTCCTGCTTTATGAAAACAAACTGATGCCAAAAATGCATTTTTTAAATCTACAAGGAAGAGTAGAACATTCTGCTTTTCCCAGTATGTCCATGGTGGAGAACTGCTTTTTTGACGTGTACAAATGACTCTCTTCCCTGCTTAAGTCAGTTTATTTTATGCTTACTATACTAAGTGACTTGAGCATAGGATCAGCGATATATATATACACACACACACATATGTATGCATGTATTTTATTTTTCCTCTTGAACAGTCAATATTCAGATAACTCTGTACCTTTTTGCAGACTTTCTTATTTGAGTCCAACATTTGGTCTCAAATAAGACCAAACAATAGCCCTCTCCTATTTGTTCAACGTCATCTTGGCCACGGTATCTTTGATTATTTTGGGTGTATCAGGATATTCTTAATTAGAAGTCTGACCAGTCTTTTTGTCACCACTCTTTGTTGCGTTTACCCCCTATTGTTTGTGCAATAAAGCGATGAAAAACAAGTTACAGTAAATCCATGGTTACCTAGTTTTGATCAACAGCTATGTAAAGACACAAACACTTACTCTTTCACACCAAAAGCGTTGTGCCAGAGGCAGAAGCGATTGTTTCAAATCCACCTTCTGGGGAGGCTGAGGAGGTTAGTGTTCGAACACAGCAGTATAAGAGCAAGCACTCCTCTAAACAAGGTCTTTAATCCTCTAGGAGAGAGAGGTTTCATCTATGACACTGCTCTCACCTAGGGGAAAAAATTGCATATCTTACTCAGTTTTCTAAAAACCAGTAAAGTAAGGAAGGTCAGAATTTATGTGAGAAAGTTTCAGAAAACTGGTAGTAGGAAATTGTAGCAAAGGACATTGTTTCAACATAGTATCACTAAGAAAGATAAGGCAAAAACCAAAGATTTGCAAAAAAATATATATTTTTTAAAGTCTTTTCTTATTTTACAAGTATAAAAAGCAATGTTTTAAAATAAAAATCCTGGAAGATACTCTGGAAAAACAGGCTTCTAAAGCACAAGACTCCTCTGTGACAACTCAATCTCACAACTCCTGAAAATCCTGCATTCAATGAACAAAGGTATGATCCAGCTCACATAACCCTTTATAATAACACTTTAAACCCCATAACCCAGCAGTCGATCTGACCAGTCTCTAAAGAATGTGTCGAGGCACTCTGGCTACAGAGCAAAAGGGTTGGCATGAATTGTAATATCTTTAATGCGAACATCATTTAGAGGTCGGTAGGTTTTCTCATTCACAGGCAGCTTCTCTAGCTCATCCAGGGTCTCCAAGCCATCAATAACTCTGGAAGAAAAGCAGAAGTGCTAGCAATCTCCTAATAATGATTTAAATTTCACAACTGAGATAACCCAAAGCACTTTACAGTGAAGTATCATAGGGCAAGGACTTTGCAAGCAAATGACACAAATAGGACAGCCAAAACATTATATATGGCATACATCGTATTTTGAAATGAAGTATTAAGCATCCATGACAGATTCTGATAAAAAGTACAAATAATTCCCACTGACCTGACAGTATCATATTTTGTACCAACCATAGCTGTATAAAGACCCTGGCTGCACTTCTTAGCAGGCAGGACTGACCAATCATAGTACAGGTTTAAGTAGTAGCAAGATACTGGCCATAGCAAACTTCACTGTGAATTACTGAAATCCTATTGCTGGAAAGATCAATTTCCAAATGTGAGATTATAATTTCTAACCTTCTGATTCAAAGACAAGATTGAACAGAATCACTGATAACTGTGTAAATCTAATGGCACAAGTAAATTTAGGCTTTCACATCACCTGTTCAGGCTGAGGAAATGGCAAGAGAGATTGTTCTAATAAACCTCTTTATTTTTAGTTTAAGTAACTAGCTCTGGTAAATCTTGGCAGTTTACTCCCCAGTAATGGACTTGGGAGAAAACACGTTGTGCTGTTCACAGTTCAGTTACATTCATCAACTCTTTGAATCTAGGATGCTGGATTGTAGGCCAGCAGGGACTGCATATGCTGTTCTGCTGATTCTGCAACTGGGGCAGGAGCATCTTAAACTGCCACAGAAAACCTGGCAAAGTTCATCAGTCAGAGCCTCTACTCTTTTCTAAGAAAGATGTCTAAAAAAAAAACCACCTACTTTCAATCACACTTCTAAACAAACTCAGAAATGAAAGGAATACCTATACTTAGATGCCTATAAACAAGTGGTAGAAAACAGTATTTTCACATTTCAATAGTTTCCTTTGAATATTTAATTTCATTTAGTAAAGGCAACTTTTTCTCAGCAGATTCACTCATACACTAGAGACTTTTTAAACAATAAGCAAAAGAAAAGACATCACCATGATTTTGAAATAGAAGAAGCAGTATCTCAAAGACTCAAAAATTAAACAATAGCTTTAAGGATGATACATTATCAGTAGTGTCTATTAACATAAGAATATTTTAAAATAATGATGCATCTTAAAAAACCTCATCTGATTTTATAAACTGTCAGTTCCATGAGGTTTATCTGACCAACAGGAAGTTCCTCCTAAACAGAAGCATGACTATGCCAGTCCCATATCCATCCCCAGATTCAGTCCCAAATCAGGTTCTTGCTTCTCAGTAAACCCTACAGCTATGTATCCAGCTGTTCTGGAGTTTGCTTAAAATCAGGCTGCATCCTTTTGGGGATGGATGAAAAGGCACGCTGGAATAACTAGTGGGAGGGGGGGAAAAAAGGAAAGAAAAAAAAAAGCTCCATTCTTGAGGCAATTTTTAATATGCCTATTTCCACTGAATTCCCTACTACTAAGAAAAAGGGAGCAGCATTTTTGAGCAACTAATTCTGGTGAAAGTGCAAGAGCACACATTTACATATACATATCCAATATTTTAATGAGTTTTAGAACCAGAAGCTTCTAAATTTGCACTGCATGTGCCCTGAAATATTCAGATCCTTCACACACTATGATAAGGAGGCATGCAGTTGGATCACTTACTTTCCAAACACAGTGTACTTCATGTCTAGGTGTGGTTGCTTGCCATAAGTGATGAAGAACTGTGATCCATTGGTATTCGGACCATTGTTTGCCATTGAAACTACCCCACGGACACTGTGCTGAAAGAGGAGAAAAACCTCAACATGAATACACATCTGTGAAAGCAGGACTTTAACCTGTACAAGGTGCTTTGTGACTTTAGTACTCTGCCTCAATACCATTATTAAGAACAAATCTTGGTTGCTAATATATTCCATCACAGTCCGTAATTAGCTCCTCAAAATTGCTCTTACAATGAAAAATTACTACTTTGCCTTCAGTGCATGAAAAACACCTTGTTACAAATTCTTTCTACTTCTGTTCTCAGTGACGAAAACCCTCAAACCTAACTTGCCAAGTACAGAAATGCCTGTTCCTACTTTAATAATAAGCTTTGTATCTCTTTATTGCAGGATTATACTTTGCTTCACAATTACAAAAGAAGTATTTAATAACAGTACAACACAATGCTGATTGTTCTCCAACTTGTAAAGAAAATTCATATGAAAACATAACTGCATATTGAGAGCACAGAAATACCTTTAGGTATTCACTGAATTCATCTTCAAACTTCTTGCCCCAGATGCTGTTACCTCCTTTCCCAGTGCCTGACGAAGAAGCACCACAATAGATTACTGGATTTTCAGACTGAAAAATCCAGAAATTATGTACTGTTATAACATTTCACCACAAAGACCCTAGACAGCCTGTAATTTGTTTGAGGCAGGGATTGGGTTCTCATGTCTTGACAGTGGGGAGAGACATAACTCTATGTAAGGAATACCTATTAAGTAGCAGAACAAAACACTGGCATATCCTCAGATTAAACTCAGTATGAGTACAGACACACAGTTGAACCAGATTTTTCCCAAATGCTTTAGAGGCAGTGTAGCCTTTCAGGCAGAAACCAGAGAAACGACAGTAGCAACTGCTACCTGTTCAACAGCTGGTAAGTCAGCAAAACGATTATGTTTAGTGGAAACAGCTGGAAAAACTAAAGATGTAGAATGCTTTACTATGGCATGATTATTTAGAACTAGGGTAACACCTGCTCTTCTGTAAGCTCACCACAGAAAACTAATCTCATCATAAAAACCTCTATCAACAATACAATAATTCTCATGTTTTTACTTTATTTATGTTTTGGTTTTAATATTCATACTTACAATTTCTTTTTATTCCTTTATATTTTATTTTTATGTACATTTTTCTATAGAAAGACCCGGACAGAAAAATTTACCTAATGGATCCCCTGTCTGAACCATGAAGCCCTTTATATTGCGATGAAATATGCATCCATTGTAGTAGTTACTAGCACAAAGAGCCAGGAAATTCTAAGGAAATGAAACAAACCATATTAGCAAACAACTCGAAATAGTCTCCTCTTACTAAAATGACAACATTGGTAAGATCAAGACTAACCCTTTTGCCTCTGCTTTGCATTGTGACCATGTGAATTCCACAGTGTATTGCCACAGAATATTCATAAACAAATTAGAGTTAATATGCTCCTTTGGTCAAAGGATACAAAGGATTTTAAATAAAGCTTACAGCACAAGGTTGTCTGACTTGAGGAACAAACAAGAAGCCTAAGACATGCTCAGAAGTATCACTTCCATTCAGTATATTTATTTTGTAAATGTATTTTTGTAATCAATAACTTCATGCCTTAGCTTTGTTAGTTAAAAAGTAAATTATTTCAATTTAAGCTTAAGTTTATTGCAGAAAGGAAAAGCTGGGAGTGATTCTCACTCAAATTAAAATCAAATCCGTGCGACTGTGAGCAAACCCAGGGAAATTTGGGAATCCCAGGCCATGTGCCATATTTCCTCTTAAGGGCAAAGGACACTTCGGGAGATGCTGGAACTTGGAAAGAAGGGGACCTTAGCTAAACCTTATCTGGTAAGAAACAGGCAGCAAAGCTCTAGGCAGCATGACACAGCGCACAAGCTCCACGAGTGCAACAGGCACTGTACAAGCTTAAAATGTTAGTATTCCATTATGTGAAAAGATGAATTGCAAAAGCCACATCACGTCCTCTACAGTCTTCACTATTTCTACTGCTTTGTTTTAACACTAGGGAATCCTGCTCCCATTACTTGACTTACTTCGCAAGTCTTTGGTGTACGCTCACAGAACAGTTCAATTTTAATATCTCCTACATCAGTATGCAGCGTGACAGCCTGAGCAAGAGGCAGAAAAAAATAATTAAATCAGCAATGAAATACTAACAGACTCAGTTTTATTTCCTGGTCCCACTGAGAACATAAGCAAGTTACCACTGCATATAACCATTGTTTCAATATTTGGCCAGAGACAAGGCTACTGTCACAAAGCTTCCACATTTCCAGTGAAATCACCAGAAAACACTTGGTTTTGTTTAGTTTCAGGACAAATCAAGTTCGCCATGGTAATGCAGAAGCTGTGTTTCACACTGTTACAGTTCAGAGATACATTATTCATTTGCAAACTAGACCTACTCAGTCACTTAATTGCAAAGTTGAAGAATCAAGGTTATATCTATTTCAGATCACAGTGTGGTACACATACCTCACTGGTTTACAGCCAGAGGAACAACTGATACGCGTCACTTGCTTGCAGCCTTTTGAGTGATAAGGCTAGTTCTGAATGGCACTGTATATAATCTACCTTCACAAACAAGCAAATCTACAAAATTGCACACTTTTCTTAAGAATTTATAAATAACCTTCATAAAATTTAAAACGGCAGTTACCCAGCCACCTAAGCAAATATATCTCTATATCACAGTGCTCCCATGGAAAGTGCTAAACTATGCAAAAAAATTACCATGGGGCTATGCTGAGGCTAAGTGTACAGGAAAACTAATAAAAATCAGTGTCATGTTGATACTGGCATACTGTTCCACAACTATACAAGGAAAGAAGAGAAGATAAGTACCTGCAATGTCCAGGAAGATGCTATAAAAGGTGTATGTACAGTTTAAGACTCACAGTCTTATCTCTTTCCTGATTTGCTAAACTTTTAAAAGCCTGCAAGTGTAGAAGGCTACATCCACTCAAGCAGGGCTATGTGCTTGCAACTTGAATAATGCTTCTGTGGTAAAAGAAACCAAACTAGATTACCAAATATTAGCCAAAGTAGGATTAAAATTTAGGATCTTAGTACTGAAAGTCTAATTATATTTTAGACTGATGTAAACTGACCTATTTTCCTTTTCACAATATCTTGTTAGAAGTCTGAAATGAAAGCCTAAACTTTTACTACAAATTCTTCACAACATCAGAGTAAAATGTGTAAACCTTTGACATGTAGAGCAGCTATTCACTTTCCAAGAGATGACCATTTCAGAAAGCATGAAAAATATACAAAAAGTGCTATTGTTCTCACCATGTCTGTTTATCAAAAAGCTGAGGTAGAGTTGTATACAGCAACTTCCTGCAAAGAAAACAGGAAATTTGTTGGGGGTTTTTTTCCCACCACTCCTCAATTCTTTTTGATTCTAAAATATTTGTGTGGTTATATGCTTTTACACCACACAGTTTTACAGTGCCATTCAAGTGACTCTGTGGATAAATGTTCTACTTGCGTTATGCAACTACGCAGCATATAAAGAACTAGAAAGGAGTCGAACAAAATAGCCTGGGAGGAAAACACCCTTTCCTAAAATGAAAGTTTAAACTAAGCAATCACAGCTTTTCCAAAAATTATGGTTCTATAAATGACAGAACTTAATAGATAAAAGCCACATGCCAGTACCTAAATAGAAGCGTGATTTGGAGCCACCTTCTGACAACTGTCAGTGCCTGCAACAGACAGGTACCTGCATCCAAGCACAGGATGAAACTTTTTTCACCTCAGTAATATTTTCGAACAAAGCATTTGGAACGATGATAATAAAACCGCAGTTGTGCGCAAATCAACAGTTCCACGCGCTAATTTCTTCTCCACGTACCGCCCTCCCTGGTTAGCCCCAGGCTTGGCAAGGCCTCTCACAGAAGCCGGGGAACCCGCCAGCAGCCAGCTCCGGCCCGGCCCCGCCTGCACCCCCGGCTGCAGCCGCCTTGGGCGGCGGGGCGCCAGGACGAGCAACCGGCACCGCGCACGCCCCGGTTCGGCATCCCAAGGGCCGACCGCGCTCACTGCAGCCCACTTGCCCTCGGCTCCTGTCTGACCAACGACGGCGTGGCGCTATCGCTCCTTTTCTGCCGATCTGAGGTGCTTCCACCGAAAACCCACGCGCAGGAGGCAGGCGCGGGCTCCGCTCGCCCGCCGCCCCCTCCACCGACGAGCGACTCGGCCAGCCGGCAC